TGCAGAATTCTTTTCTCCATCAAAATCTGTGAGTGTTTTAGACAGTCAAGTGTATTTCTATCGATAAATGTTAAATGCCACCCCAATCGAATGGGATTGTTATAAAAAATAATTTTTCGATTTTTATGTGATTATAGTTTCTCCAGATACATCGGAGAATTTTTTTTATTATATATATGACTCAATGTTCTCATTTTCGCGAGATCATTGTCAATTTGAAACTCAATGCCGAATAAGGGTGTGGGTGTTAGTTTTGATAATTTCTTCTGGTGTATTCGCACCCACACTCATATCCGGCGTTATCCGATGCTTATCTTCTTGCTTTTTCTCTGTGCAGTAGTCTCGACTCATACATGTCCATTGTACATGCGCAAATAGGAAAAAGACAGAGAGAAAAAAATTTAGAATAGTGTCCGAGAGACGATAAGGATCTCTTTCAGGAAAGCTTATATTGAAAATTTTTTGCTAGACACTCAGTCACATATCTTAAAGGGTGATTCAAAAGTCTTCTCCTTTCTTAGAAAGACTACTCGTTCTCCCTTATTGCAAATCCGATAACACTCAAAATTGGACGTCTAATTTCTTGTAACTAGACGAATATTACTCTCAATTTTTGGACCTCTAGTCCTTATTATAGGGAGATATATAGAGTCGTATGGTAGAGCAGATTTTTTTCCCATGTGCCAAAAAAATTTTAAAAAATTTATTCATAAGAAACATCTAAAATAATTCACTTTCACTATTTATACAATAACAGACAATAGATTATTTTACATTTTCATATCATCATCATAGATCTTTTGTTGACTGAATAACCATATTTATCAATTAAACACTATAATATTCTTGGTATTGATTTTATCAAGTTTGAACACATTTGTGGACTAATGGTTCTCCAAATTTTTACAATTTCTTTTCCAAGATTGTTAAACTTTCAATTTTTTCTCCTTCTAATTTTTGTTTAATATAACTCCAGATGATTTCAATTGGCTAGATATCGCCCATTTTATCCGATTCTTCTTCCAGTTAAATATGTTCATGAAAAATCTCGTCTATTCTCTTTAACACATTCGACGCGATTCGATTTTATTAGAGAGTGGTGGGTCCCACCGGTGGAACCCATCGCGTCGAATGTGTTAATACATGTATTAATACTGAAAGTGAATTATTTTAGACGTTTCTTATGAATAAATTTTTTATAACTTTTTTTGGGACTTGGGAAAAAAATCTGCTCTACCATACGACTCTATATATCTCCCCTGTAATAAGGACTAGAGGTCTGAAAATTTAGAGTAATATTCGTCTAGTTACAAGGAATTAGACGTCCAATTTTGAGCGTTATCGGATTTGTAGTAAGGGACAACGAGTAATTTTCCTAAGAAAGGAGAAGACTTTTGAATCATCCTTTACTCATGTTTTGGTGGGATACTCACCTTTTCACGCTCTTTCCAATGATGTTATTTTCAGCGAGTAATCACGAGATTCATTCTTTGGGTGCCTTTGATATGGGCTTGCAAATAGAACACTCCAATTCGCACAAATCTATGTTATAGACGCCATGAAAAAAAAGAGAAAAAGATGACTACAATTTTCTCCGTCACTGTTCTCAGCTGAAAAAAGCGCATTCGCATTTTCTTCCTCACTGAATTCCATATTCATACAGTTCTACAGTGTTTATCTTTTTGTACTATTGATAGTTTGTAGTGAAAATTCGTTGGTGCATAGAATAACGACAATGCTATGGGTGACGCGACTTCTGATTACACTTCTCATATTCTTTCTCGAATTGAGTGCAGCACAAGGGGAGAAAACCAATAATCCCTTCTATATCATTGCACACATGGCCAACAGCAATTCCGCTGTTAATTGGGCAGTGACACAAGGTGCGAACGCCATCGAATGTGACATTCATTTTGACGGCAGCGGAGAGCCCTTTCTTATTGAACATGGTCCTGGTTGTGACTGCAATTGTGCCACGGGGAACGATCACATTTGCGTTGTTCTTCAAAATCAATGTTCTGGTCCCAAAGCTCGTGAGAATCCTGCGACTTACATGCAAAATATCGCACGCCATGATGGTATCGCTCTTTACTTTGTGGATTCCAAAGTTGATGCCGGAATGGGAGAAACGCTGGTTAAAGCAGGAACAGGTCTTATTCCCTTTATGGACAAAAATCTGTTTGGTTATGGCTACAAGGGAAAGGTTATTATCTCATCAGCATCATTCAGTACGTTTGCTTATGTTCAAGCAGCCGCAACAGCAGCAAAAAAATCACGGAACGCGCAGCGTTATTTCTTCACGACCGATCAAGAAGAAAACAACTATGAAGGCGTGATGAATAGACTGTCCCCATATACAAACAATAGAGTGTACGGTACGGGTTCTGGTTCGTGTGGTGCACTGGTGACTTATTACGATGCTATTAAAGCTGCTGTCGCTGGTAAGAAGCAAGGTGAAAATGGTATGAATTACATCTATACGGTGGACAAAGAACAAATTATGCGAGAGTATATCAATCTGGGCGTCGAAGGAATCATGACGAACCACGCTGCCTTAGCCAAGACGGTTGCCATGTCGATGGGTCTAAGAATTGCGCTTCCAAGCGATCCGATTCCAATCTCAACAACAATCATTGATAGTGAGTAAAATGATATGATTGAAAGAGTTCGATGAACAAAGAGCTTTGTTTTGTCTGCTTCAGAAGATTCTTGTAGTATACGAATACATAGCTTTTAAAGTTCTTGTATAGCAATAAGAATCAGACTAAGCAATTTATAATTACTACCGTCCTGAAGAATTTGAATTCGAATAGATGTTTGGATATGCAGCTATTTTGATAGCTGGAGAGAAACTCAAATAGTTTGATGGCAGAATACTCAACCGGTTGTCGAAAGATGCAGTTTGATTCCTATTCTGATTTTATGATATTTCTTAGCAGGCCTTTCGTGCTTATTGAGGCATATTCATGCGGATGCATTTATTTCAACTCACATGTATTTCCGTAGATAGGTACCACGATTGCTTAGTTCTTAACTTTTTAGATGAATTATTATATTCACCTTACCATCAAGCTTCTATGGGTCCACGACATTTTCTCTTGATTGTTCTATAAGTGTAATAGTAATAACTATAGATAGAAGACGAACAAGTCGAAATAAATAAAAAAGAACTGCTGTTCTGTTTTAATGTACGTTTTATTCAAAATCATGTTTGGAACAGAAAAATGGTTAAGTCCATTTCCTGATACTATTTACAGTGCTTAATTTTCATAGATTTGAAACTTTTACTCCCATGACTTTTTGACAAGTTTCAAAATATGAGAACTCTGTAAAAAGCAGCATTTTCTACGTTACTTTTCATATTTGCGTTGTCCCATCTGAACTGTGTGTTCAAGAAGCAATCAAAATAGGTACCCTCGAGAATGACTTCTATTTCTACTAAAATTTCAAGCACAATCGGATGTACTATGTTCGAGAAATGAGAGCACAAAGAAACATCACTTTTAATACTTATAAAGTGAATATTTCTATAATAGAAGAAAGCATCCAAAAATTTTGCTTCTAGAACAACTTTTTGCTGTAATAATTGAGTTGTCTTTGGGCTGTTAGTTTTATAATTTTTCCGATTAGTAGTTCTTAAAAAAGTACCAGAAATGAAAGAAAGTCCTTAAACGGATTTCCCAATCCAATACCAACCGAAACTGTTCTGCAAGTAAATAAATATTCAAAGTTATGTTGGCGCATTTTATAGAAAGATTTGAATTTCTAGGAAATAAGAATTTACCATCATCTGGGTTCCATTCACTTTCCTGAGCTGTTAATGATGTCTCCATGAGTTCCCTAGGGATTCTGATTTCAAGACAATCAGTTATATCTCATCAAGTGAGTGGCTTTTTAAAAATTCGTCTCGAATTGGCCCTATTCACAAAAACCGACTACTATTTTAATTGTTTTTCTTTATGAAAGACAAGCTTCTTTCTAATTTTTATTGTAGGAAAACGACATGATGTGGTTCAAACGATTGAGCCAGAATCAGGTCCTTGGGGTGAATTTACCGATATGATTTATTGTGATGCAAATACGTGGGCGATTGGTTTTCGACAACGTGTAGAGAAATCATGTGGTAATTGTGATGATACTGCTTTGAATGCATTGGAATTATTGTGTGGAAAGAAAGACGGAACTTCTGTTAAGTCAATTAAACCTCACAATGGTTTTTGGGGCGATTGGAGTGATTTCGTTAGTTGTCCTGGAAATGGTAACTTTTTGAAAGGTGCTTCATTCAAAATTGAACAATCTCAAGGAGCAGATGATGATACAGCTGCAAATGACAGTCAATTTGCATGCTCTCAATCATCTAACATTCTCGCATCGAATGGTGGTCCATGGGGCGACTGGAAACAGATGAAATATTGTCCTCCATCAACAGCTATCTGTGGATTTTCGCTAAAACTAGAAAATATGCAAGGCGAGGGAGATGACACAGCCGCTAATGGAGCTAAATTCGACTGTTGTACTTTATGAACTAGGTTGTGTATAGTGTTTCTTTTCGTTGGTTTCATTATAATTCCTAAAATATTCAATCAAACAATAATATATTGCATACTTCTACAACTTCCGTCCTTTCTTCTAATAATTTTATTATTTGTCAAAATCTTAAACAAAAACCGCGGGGCCAAAAAGTCATAATACCAAAAAATAATTTCAGTATCTACATCACAGCAGGAGCAAACGAGCTAATGTTTTATCACTGATAGACGCATCTTCAAGGGTGTGAGTGGATGTAGTTGTGTTTGTGGATTTGTGTGTGAGTGAGAGTGCGGCTACTGGTTTTTTTCATCATAACCACCCCTGACTGCTAGATCGGACAATATCCTATCAGCTTTTTCCAAATCGAATAGAATTCAATGGGAGCGAAGCTCAATTCATCTCAAAAACAACACAAAAAAAACATCTCATGAACAACAGAACGTTAAGGTATTGGGATGTAGAAAATGCATCGACTGCATCTGTCAACAATATTCAATTATGTCATGACTCACCCATTGCATTCTATCACAGCGTCTGTGTGACACTGATGAAACAGTTAAGCAAAATCCATTCTTTCGTTTATGGTTTCTAATAATGTCACATATTCAGGCAATCGAAGATTTGAGTACATATCCTATAGAACATGCCTCAATATTGATCGATCAATGCCATTAACTCTCGATTTCCGAACAATGACCGATTGTCATTAATAATTAGCGTCTAGGGAATTATATCAAATATCTGATAAAAATGAAATCAATTCTCCCGATGGTGCTCTTCATTTTTCACGAATCGTTTAATAGAAGCTAGCTAATAATAATTAGGGGAAATTCGAGTTGCCCCTGGCTAGACAAACAATTATGGGTCTCCTTGATGAAAAAGGTTGATATAACTTTGAACAATTCAACAATAGCATTAGCTGCAATTAATCTTTTACTTGCAATGAATATATACTTGCATGAAAGAATATCAAGAATGTTTTTGGAAGAAAGTAATACCATTCATGTTCTATGCCAAAAAGCCTAGCAACTCTGATCTTACGTAATGTATTATTGAAATAACTAGAGTTTAATTGGAAATAGCAGAAAAAAAAGTGGCTCAAAGTCAGTACAAATATGAATCTGATGACAGTAACGTATTGTTGCGTATTGCTATTCAACCATTGCATCTTGCATAACAAGGTGGTATACTTTCAGCACAAAATTCCATATTTTTTGCACACCAGTCAACAGTGTACTCTGAGCATGATTGTATTGAAAGTGTCTGACAAGTGGGACTTAATAATACGAAACAACATTTACATGAACCACTACTTGATACAGTTGTTTGTATTGTGGTCGGATAAGGAGTGGCACTCACCGATGGATGAGTGGATTGTTGTGTCGAGGAGCTTCCATCACCTTGACACAGTCATTAGTCAGAAAAATCAGGCCGATATTGAGCATACCATTGAGAGCGCCATTAACATGAATATTCCGAGCAGATTTCTGGCCCTTTCCATCCTTCTCCACCACATTGCTCCCATGCTTTTGCAAAGCCTGTGCCACTCGAGTAGCCTTCCATACTTGAGCATTCTCAGTCCATTCCCGAGCAACTTGTTTGACACGATGTGAACCAACGAGATCGGCGAAAGCATCAAAGAAGTCAATCACAATTGGTCGAACCTGTATAGCCCTCGCCACCACATTGCTCGTAGATACCAGCTGACAAAGCGAGAGAAGCAATAGAAATGATCACAAGTGCAAAAATGGAATCAATCATATTTCTCATTATGTCTTATTTTTTCCGTTTTCATGTGACTATTCCACACGACAAAACCTTATTTATTGTCGGTACTTGTTTGAATTTAATTGCATTTTGGCACATGACGAAAGATAAATGCATCGAAAGCTAAAGAGAGATTACCCATGCAGACAGATAAATGGCAAAACGCCGTTTTGATGCATTGACGATGAGAATTGATGAAAACAACGCTATAAAACTCGTTTACTAGATAAATTCAAGAAATAAACGCGTGAAAACGGTTATTTTCTGTTTAACGCATTTAACGAAGATATTACAGTAATAAACATGTTTTAACGCCTGTATGTAAAGAAATTACAGAAGTTAATGCATTTTAACACAAATATATCATACATTTTAATGAATTGGCATAGAAAAAAATTAATTAAAGAGAAGCTGCTTGTTAATACTGATTAATACAGCATTCTATCCAAAGTACACTAAAAGTAAAGAAAACAACTATCTATTTATTATGGCTAACTGCTTCCACTTCGATTAGAGTACTGAAAAAAAAACAAAAAGATTTCTGAACAGGAACAAATTTAATATCAGTTCCAGATTGAAAAACAAGTTTTTGCATAATAGATTGTAAATTAGTAACTTCTTATGTTGTTTCATGGTAAGTTCCATACAATAAGTTTGTGCAAAAAAGATGTACGTATGTATATTGCTATCGATGAACTTTGCGATATTATTAAAAATATTGTCCTCGCTAGCATATTTATGTCGGCTTTTCTATGGAAAATAGTACAAAGATGTGTTAAATCATCCAGGGTGAGAAAACGAAAAGAAACAAATAATTCGACTTGAATTCTTGAAAAAAACGCCCGGAAAAAGTTTGATGATTTATATAACAAAAGATGATATTCAATGTACAAGAAATGCACTTAAACAATCAAGTGTATTTTATTCTATTAATGTGAGGATATATTTTAGTCGATAGCAGGTAATCTTTTATATCTTTATCTTATAATCCATTTCTATTGGATTAAATATACAAGAAAAGCAACAGAAAACATAAAGAATAGTTAACTCGCAAAGAAAAGATTCTAAAAATAATAAATATTTCGATTGTTTTGTTTTTGGGGGGGGGGGGAGTGGCGCA